CGCTAGGTTAGCTCGTGTGAAACAAACATGTTTTTAAACGAGGATCGTATTCAGCATAGTGGATTGTAATGCACACGTGTTAAATCTTGCAATACTGCGGAATAACGTGGAATCCATAACACGATTAGTCATCGGGTAAAATCTTACGAATTAACTTAAATGTGATAAAAATAACTGGAGAATGAATAAGAATTTGGGTTCCGTTTTCATACATTAACAAAAAATTGTTGATGAGACATCATCACCATATCAGGAATTACGATATAAACATTCGCTTGTCAGAACAGTGATTTATGTTTATATTTTGGTTTTTCACCAAACTCGGAGCCAACTGTGAGTCAAAATTTTTTCGACCGTACACAAAAACCTCCGAAACACGTTTTTTGTAAGTTGGAGCTCTCCTTAAACACTCTCCCATAAATTTAAATTTACGTCCGGAACAAGTTCCCGACACACGACCCTGTAATTACGAAACTGTTACACCCTCCGCCATAACTCGTTAACATCTGGACTGTTTTAAAGACGCATGTTCATGCTAGAGAAACATTGAATAGATGGGAAACATGCACGTGCCGCACCGTTGCTCCCGTCGGGTTAAATTTCTGCTTTTTTGAAAGAATTGTGTATTGATCGTGGACAAGCAACGCCGGATTGTCATAGGTAGGAGGAAAAAGGCAGACGTGACATGTCTTGCATTTTTCGCGTCTTTTGTGGAAGTGATTCATTCGTCAGAAGTGTACGGCTTTCGAGTATCAATCTGTTATCGTGTGCGGTGTGGAAACGTTCGGTGATGTACGATGTCCGAGGGAGTTGGAAATTTTTCTAATTACTGGAGGTTTTATCGCGGGAGGAAATGGGAAATCGGCATGGACTAAATTACTCATGGGTTTTGCAGTCCGTGTGAGTTTGTTCCAGATTACGCAAAAAATTTAGTATATGTATAATGTATATATTTCTCCCAAAACTATCACAATCGCAAATATTTACAGCTTGCACAAACTGTGAAAATCAACATTTACATCGAACAGTGCGATTTTGTCAACAAAGAAACAAGAAAATTTGAATTTTGTTCCATTTGGAGGCGGTTTTTTGATTAATGCTGTGCTCATGAGACATGTGACATTTTAACCCCAACGGAAAATCACAGTTCTAACAGCAAAAAACACGTTTATGTTTGCTTAAAAACCAAAAAGAACTGCAACCTCGCCAAAAAGTGAACAGAGAATTTAAATAAACGAAATTTTCGGAGTCAAACGAATCCAAAAATTTCAAGATTTTAAACTGGTGTAAAATTAAATGTGTACTTCAATCACTTTTAACTACGCATTTTCAGAATGTCAATGTATGCAGCAAAAATAATATACATATATACATTTTTACGAACAAGAGTAGACAAAACTTTGAGCTGACGTCATCCATTTTTTGGGAGGGTACAATAGACAAATTTTGGTTCAAGTTTTACCATCTGCACGATAATCCTCAAGTACACATAAATTTCAAATAATGTAGGATCACGTAGGCCTTTACGTTTAGCTAGTATTTGTTAAAATAAGATTGATTTTGGTAAATTACTGAACAATATTAAGAGTAATCACTGGAATGAAGAGGGGGTGGGCGGGGTTATTGCTTGAATATAAAGGATTCGCTAAGAAAAAGTTAAACTTAGCCCCGCCCACCCGCCCGTTCTCTCATTTTTTTCTTCAGAAATAAGAAATAAATGTTATAGCAAATAAAAAGTGGTAAATGATATATCCTCTAAGAAAATAAGGGCGGGTGGGCGAAGTTAGTACTTGTTAAGATAAGATTGATTTTGGTAAATGACATATCTTCTAAGAAAAAAAAGGGTGTGTGGGCGGGGCTAAAACTTGCCAAGGTAGGACTGAACAATATTAAGAGTAGCCACTGGAACGAGGAAGGGGTGGGTGGGTAGTGCTACTGCTTACTCATGAAACTAGAAAAAAGCTAAATTTAGCCCCACCCACCTTCTTTCTCCATTTCACCGACTTATTTTATTTAGTGTAAAGTGGAAATTGAAAAATAACAGTATTGTATTGTAATGATAAGTAAATTTTGGATAGAAAGTATTCGGAAAAATTTTGAGATGACGTCATCAATTTTTTGGGGGGAATAAAAACATATTTTGATTAAAAATTTTCCACGCTTACAATAGCTTTAAAACGTCCGCAAGTTGTCAATATTCAGTTTTTTGATTTAGTGAATTTGACTGATTCATTAATTTTTTTGAGTGACCTGTATAAGCAGATCTAAAAAATGAGGATATTAATTTGATCAATTAAAAATTAATTTATTTTTCTAGTTTTTTGATGTTTCATTATTTAGATTTTGCAATTTTTTGCACTTTCACGAATTTGCAATTTTAATATGAGTGATTTTAGCAAATGACACCCCTTCAGAAAAATAGAGGGAGGGTGGGCGGGCCTAGTACTTGCTAGGATAACACTAATTTTGGCAAATGACATACCCCCTAAGAAAATACAGGGCGGGTGGGCGGGGCTGGCACTTGCCAATTTAAGACTAATTTTGGCAAATGATATACCGTCTGTGCGAATAGAGGGCGGGTGTGCGGGGCTAGGTAAACTCTGCTCCGCCCACCTTTTTTCTCTGTTTCATTGTCTTATTTTAGTTTCTGTAAAAAGGGAATTGTATTCTATTTTGACAAGTGGCAGAATATAAGATTTAATTTTTTTGTTAAAATAAGATTGATTTTGGTAAATGACTGAACAATATTAAGAGTAATCACTGGAATGAAGAGGGGGTGGGTGGGCGGGGCTATTGCTTGATAATAAAGGATTCGCTAATTCCGCCCACCCACCCGTTCTCACTTTTTTCTTCAGAAATAAAAAATAAATGTTATAGCAAATAAGAAGTGGTAAATGATATATCCTCTAAGAAAATAAGGGCGGGTGGGCGAGGGTAGTACTTGTCAAGATAAGATTGATTTTGGTAAATCACATATCTTGTAAGAAAAAAAGGGGTGGGTGGGCGGGGCTAAAACTTGCTAAGGTAGGACTGAACAATATTAAGAGTAGCCACTGGAACGAAGAAGGGGTGGGTGGGTGGTTCTACTGCTTGCTCATGACTTATTTTATTTAGTGTAAAATGGAAATTAAAAAATAACAGTATTGTATTCCCAAAATTTTCTGGGAAAATGGAGTGAGCCGTTCCTGATTTAATCAATAAAATAAATTGACTCATTCATTAATCTGGCCACCTGTTTAACTAAATCGAAAAAATATTAATGCAATGATAAATAAATTTTGGGTAGAATTTATTCGGCAAAATTTTGACATGACGTCATTAACTTTCTGGGAGGTTATAAACAGATATAGTTTGATTAAAAATTTACCATGCTTACAATAACTTTAAAACGTCTGCAAAATTTCAAAGTATTCAGTTCAATTGTTGATTTATTCAATAAAATAAATTGACTGATTGATTAATTTCTTTGAGTGACCCTGTATAAGCAAATCTAAAAAATGAGGTTCTTGATTTGATTAATAAAAAATTGGTCGAAGGCTATTAGTTTGTATAATAAATCCAGATGTTGAAAAAAGTTATAAAATTTGCTTTTATGATTTTCGTTTGTGATAAATAAAAACCAGAGGCATAAATAACACGCCTTGTCCGTCAGCAGTAGGTAATAGCAATCTAAAGCCCAAGTGTTTATTTATGTTTATACATCGAAAGAATGTCACGTAAGAACAGGCAAAATTTTCAACTTTTGATTAAAGTTTTACCATCTACACGATAATCCTCAAGTATACAAAAATTTCAAAAAATTTAGGATCACGTACACCGAATGTCCTGAACATGCTCTCTGCGCTCGCATTATACACGTGCTACTCTCCAGATAAAATCAGTTCTAAAATTCGCCCAAAAAATAGAGACAAATAAAAAAAATTTGCACTTGTTTACATCGAACTTTCCTGATTTTTAATATACTACTCCAGAAATATGAGAATGGCAACAAAATTTATTAAATTAGGACATTACATTAACATTTTTGGATGACGTCACCAAATCTTTGCAGGAGATAACCGCAATGACTGGTACAATCAGCACCAAAACAAATTTTCGTTTAACCATGGCAACAAAGGTCCAAAACAAGTCATTAAACAAGAAATGAAGTAAAAGTTCATTTAAAAGCAACTGATAAATCGGCGCACGAGGACGTAAACAATATAATTACTTTGTGTCTTGAAAACTCGATTAAACCTGCCTTCGCAACAAAGCCCACACCACAACGCACAAATCTCGAAAGTATGCTACCATTGAAAAAATTTAAAACCTTGCGAAGTCGAAACAATGAAGAAAGTTGACGTTTATCTGCACTAACACGACACGCACATTAACATTTCTCTTGTTTGTTTTTTTCCGTTTGGTTTCGCCACAGGCTGTGTTAAGCATCGTGGTGCACCCTTAAGGAATGACTAAACCCCCTTAACCTTATCAATTATTTACCCGGTGAGTCACCAAAACAATGACCCAACCTGCGCGCTGCACCCCGGTCGGAGGCGGCTGTGACCCCTCATTCCGCCAATTTCCGCCAACTTTGCCAATCGCCGCCAATTTGCAACAAATAGCTGCGAACGACTGCATAACAGCACAATAATTCGCTTTCTATTCATGTCTGCGTTACACAATTAACGTAAACGTCCACACAAGCGGGCGCTGATGGTACATGGAAGGTGGATGGTACACGGCCACCTGAGATCCACGACCAAAATGACACACCTGCGACTGGTTCTCACCTGAGACCTGAGTCACGCAGGTTGGAGGATGACCGTTTTGGTCCAACCGCGAACTGGTTGACCGTTTTCCTCCGGGGAAAAAATTCGCCTCACCAGATGGTCGCGCGGATGGTTTTCCCGGACGTGGGGCTTTGTCTGCCGGGACGAGGGACGGTTTTATCGCGAAAGTGGTTCGATGGGCGACGGTGGGCGATCGGGGTCGCAGGAGCGATGGTTTGGAGGACTTACCCAGAGCTCGGTGCCCCAGTTCATGCTGTCGGTTGCGGTCGTCATTAATCCAACAATGGAACACTCAACAACACATTAAACAATTTACTTTTAACCGACACTGGTATTTTTCAACCGTCACTACCCAACATGGCTGTTTTACTAAAGACAGTTCGCTGCGATGTCTGGACTGGAGGAATGAGTGGAGTGAGGCGGGAGCGAGACGGAGGGAGGTGAAAATGACGTGATTGGCGGCGAAGCGATGCAAGCGCCAGCTGCTGGCGAGTAGCAGAAGCTACGTGAAGATTTCTACATCGGGAATAAAATTGAGCTTTTCTATCGCTGCCCCCAAGAAGCTAAATTAACAATATTGTTGTCACTATTTTAAAAATGTGAATTTAAAGATTGTCAGTGATCATTACAATGTCTCTGGGATTGAAACATCCTTTACGTGCTCGCTGCGCTCACATTTTTTTTAAGTAATAAGTGTGAGATTTATTATTACGATAAAATCTAGACAGCTTCGCTGCACACTTTCTAGGGCATTCTCAAAAAAATCCACAAGCCCCTCCCAAGATTCTTGGGCATTCTCAGAGAGACTAGAGCCCTGCGTGAATCTAGGGCATTCTAAAAAAACATAAGGGACCCTCAAGTTTTTTAGACATTCTCAAAGAGACTCTAGGACCTTCAGTGATTCTAAGGCATTCTCAAAAAAAATCCACAAGCCCCCCCAAGATTCTTAGGCATTCTCAGGGAGACTAGAGCCTTCCATGAATCTAGGGCATTCTCAAAAAAAACACAAGGGATCCTCAATTTTCTTGGGCATTCCCAAAGACAAAATAGGGCCTTCCGTGATTCTTGCGCATTCTCAAAAAAGACACTAGGGCTGTCCATGATTCTAGGGCATTCTCAAAATAAACCACAAAGGGCGCTCAAGATTCTTGGGCATTCTCAAAAAATTGGTCTAAAGAGTTTAGACAGTACTTCCCTCGCTGTCGGAAACTTGACGACTGCATGCCTATTGTGTTTTTTTTTCTCATTACATTTTTGTAGTGGGAATTTAAAAAAAAATGTGATGACGTCATCAACATTTTTGCAAGGACACGTATATCAGTTGGGATAGATGTAGTGTAATACTAAGAATAAAATTATTGTATTCCCACATTTTCGGGAAAATGAATTGGGTCGTTTTGAATATTGATTTCTTATAATCAATAAAATAACGAAACAATTTACTCAGGTATACGGCGCCTTTTTTTGAACCACCTCTTAAGAAAATCTAAAAAATATGAATGGAATGATATATCACAAGTACAAACTCATCATATTTTTTGCATTTTAGATAGGATTTAATCAGCAAAATTTAAGGGTGACGTCATCAATTTTTTTAGGAGGGATGAACAAATACATTTTGAACAAAAGTTTACCATGCTTATAATAACTTTAAAATATTCCCAAGATTTCAAAGCATTCGGTTTTGTAATTCCTGATTAAATCGATAAAATAAATTCACGCTTTCATTAATTTTTTTGAGTCACCCTGCATATGCAAATCAAAAAATATGAATGGAATGATAAATCACAAGTACAGACTCATCATATTTTGTACAATTTAGATACGATTTATTCGGCAAACTTTTGAGCTGACGTCATCAGTTTTTTGTAGAAGATAACCAAATATATTTTGACTAAAAATTTATTATGCTCTTTATAACCTTAAAACATCTGCAAGATTTCAAAGCATTTGGTTTTGTAGTTCCTGATTAAATCAATAAAATAAATTTACGCATTCATTAATTTTTTTGAGTCACCCTGTATATGCAAATCGAAAAAATTTGAATGGAATGATAAATCACAAGAAGAGACTCACCATATTTTGTACATTTTAGATAGGATTTATTCAGCAAAATTTTGTGGTGACGTCATAAATTTTTTAGGGAGGACGACCAAATACATTTTGATCAAAAATTTACCATGCTTATGATAATTTTAAAATATCTTCAAGATTTCGAAGCATTCGGTTTTGTAGTTCCTGAGTAAATCAGTAAAATAAATTTACGCTTTCATTTATTTTTTTGAATCACCCTGTATGTGCAAATCCAAAAAATATGAATAGAGTGATAGATCACAAGTACAGACTGATCATATTTTGTACATTTTAGATATGATTTATTCGGCAAATTTTCGAGCTGACGTCATCAAGTTTTTGGAGGGGATAAGAAAATATATTTTGACTAAACATTTATTATGCTCTTTATAACCTTAAAACATCTGCAAGATGTCAGAGCATTCCGTTTTGTAGTTCCTGATTAAATCAATAAAATATATTTACGCATTCATTAATTTTTTTGAGTCACTCTGTATATGCAAATCCAAAAAATATGAATGTCATGATAAATGACAAGTACAGACTCATCATATTTTGTAGATTTTTGATATGATTTATTCGGCAAACTTTCGAGCTGACGTCATCAAGTTTTTGGAGGGGATAAGCAAATATATTTTGACTAAACATTTATTATGCTCTTTATGACCTTAAAACATCTGCAAGATTTCAGAGCATTCGGTTGTGTAGTTCCTGATTAAATCAATAAAATATATTTACGCATTCATTAATTTTTTTGAGTCACCCTGTATATGCAAATCCAAAAAATATGAATGGAGTGATAAATTACAAGTACAGACTCATCATATTTTTACAGTTTAGATAGGATTTATTCGGCAAACTTTCGAGCTGACGTCATCAATTTTTTGGAGGGGATAAGCAAATATATTTTGACTAAACATTTATTATGCTCTTTATAACCTTAAAACATCTGCAAGATTTCAAAGCATTCGGTTTTGTAGTTTCTGAGTAAATCAGTAAAATAAATTTACGCATTCATTAATTTTTTTGAGTCACCCTGTATATGCAAATCCAAAAAATATGAATGGAGTGATAGATCACAAGTACAGACTCATCATATTTTGTACATTTTAGATATGATTTATTCCACAAACTTTTGAGCTGAGGTCATCAAGTTTTTGGAGGGGATAAGCAAATATTTTTTGACTAAAAATTTATTATGCTCTTTATAGCCTTAAAACATCTGCAACATTTCAAAGCATTCTGGTTAGCAGATTAAAAATTAAATTTCAAAATGTTGTTTTATAATTTTGATTTTTTTCCCAAAAATCTGGACGTTTCGGGTGAAAAGTCGATTCAGAGTTGTAAACTACATGTGTAGGACTATGTTATTTTATACAATTGAAAACCCATTTACTATGTACAATTTTGAAGTGACGTCATCGCATTAGTGGTGGGGATGATTAGACAAATTTTGGTTAGCGTTTTACCATCTACATGATATTCTTAATATAAGTACAAAATTTCACAACAATCGGTCGAGTACTTTCGGAGATTATCTGTCTAATAAAAATCCGGGACGGCAGACGGACAGACGGACAGACGGACGGACAGACGGACGGACAGACGGACGGACAGACGGACGGACAGACGGACAGACGGACAGACGGACATACAGACGGAAATGGGAGACCTATTTCTTCGTTTTCTAGGGGTCATGAAAGATCGAGAAAACGTAAAACTAGAGAGTCGACCGACGGACTCGATTACAATACTTCCTTTGCTTACGCTCGGGAAGTAAAAAGGACAGATTCTTGGGCATTCTCAAAAAAAAAGATACTAAGGGTCTCCGAAATTTTTTTAGCATTTTTAAAAAAGTCACAAAGCTTCCCCAAGATTCTCGGGCATTTTCAAAAAAGACACAGATTCTTGGGCATTCTGATAAAAAGCTATAAGGCGCCTCCAAGATTCTTGGGCAGACACCAGGACCCTCCATTATTGTAGGACATTCACAAAAACACACATTTTCGAAGAGACACTAGGGCCTTCCGTGATTCTTGGGCATTCTCAAAAAAGACACTAAGGCCCTTCTTGTTTCTAGGGCATTCTCAAAAAAATCCACAAGGCCCCCCCAAGATTCTAGGGCATTCTCAGCGAGACTAGAGCCCTCCGTGAATCTAGGGGATTCTAAAAAAAACATAAGGGACCCTTAAGTTTTTTAGACATTTTCAAAGAGACTCTATGACCTTCAGTGATTCTAGAGCGTTCTCAAAAAAAGCCGCTAGGGGTTCCCCCAATTCTTGGGCATTCTCAGGGAGACTAGAGCCTTCCATGAATCTAGGGCATTCTCAAAAAAACCACAAGGGATCCTCAACTTTCTTGAGCATTCTTAAAGAGACACTACGGCCTTCCGTGATTCTTGGGTATTCTCAAAACAGACACTAGGGCTGTCCATGATTCTAGAGCATTCTCAAAATAAGCTAGAAGGGGCTCTTAAGAATCTTGGGCATTTTCAAAAAAGACACAGATACTGGGCATTCTGTGAAATAGCTACAAGCCGCCTCCAAGATTCTTGGGCATTCTCAAAGACACCAGGGTGCTTCATGATTCTAGGGTATTCTAAAAAACACATTTTCAAAGAGACACTAGGGCCTTCCGTGATTCTTGGGCATTCTCAAAAAAAACACTAAGGCCCTTCTTGTTTCTAGGGCATTCTCAAAAAAATCCACAAGGCCCCCCCAAGATTCTTGGGCATTCTCAGAGAGACTAGAGCCCTCCGTGAATCTAGGGTATTCTAAAAAAAACATAAGGAACCCTCAAGTTTTTTAGACATTCTCAAAGAGACTTTAGGACCTTCAGTGATTCTAGAGCATTCTCGAAAAAAGCCACTAGGGGTCCCCACAATTCTTGGGCATTCTCAGGGAGACTCGAGTCTTCCATGAATCTAGGGCATTCTCAAAAAAACCACAAGGGATCCCCAATTTTCTTGGGCATTCTCAAAGAGACACTAGGGCCTTCCATGATCCTAGGGCATTCTCAAAATAAGCTACAAGCGGCGCTCAAGATTTTTGGGCATTCTCAAGAAAAGACAGATTCTTGGGCATTGTCAAAAAAAAAGATACTAAGGGTCTCCGAAATTTTTTTGGCATTTTTAAAAAAGTCACAAAGCTTCCCCAAGATTCTTGGGCATTTTCAAAAAATACACAGATTCTGGGCATTCTGTTAAATAGCTACAAGGTGCCTCCAAGATTTTTGGGCATTCTCAAAGACGCCAGGACCCTTCATGATTCTAGGGCATTCTAAAAAAACACATTTTCAAAGAGACACTAGGGCCTTCCGTGATTTTTGGG